CACCAGAGTGAAGTGCCAGAGGCCCAAATGGAGGAATACTATACAATAAAGAGGCTTGTACACCTCAAAAATGTCATAAAGAAGCCCAGTGTAGTGGCTCACTCCTATAACCCCATAACCCAGGAGGTTGAGACAGGAGGATTGCTGTAAGTTTGAGGCCTACCTGGGTTAAACATGAGTTCAAGGCAAGCCTGGACTACATGGGGAGACTCTATCTCAAAAATCAATCAATGAATCAATCAAACAATCAATCAAATTAAAAGAAACCAAAGTGAACAATGGGCTTCATTGGTGGTGAACTTATAGCACAAGGCTATGGCGGGCTGTTTCTCATCATGGAACACTCCCAAAAGTTTCTCATCACTGGACTGGGATCTTCTCTGGATTAAAGGAGATTTAAGAGTCATAATAATTAAATATGACATATGATCCTGCCCTGAGGGATTTTTTTTCCCCCTTAAAAAGGGGTTTTTTGAAGACTGGCAATAATTGAAATCTGAATAAGGTATGTGGAATTAAGATAATTGCACTGAGTCAATATTAATTTCATGATTTTTACAATTTACCTTTGAGTATGTATACAGAAAACATGGTACTACTTAGAGGTAAAGGTGCATTGTTCTGCAATTTATTCTCGAAATGATTCAGAAGCCTGATATAGTGGTGCATGCCTGTAATCCTACCACTATGGGAGGTTACAGCAGAAGGATCTTGAGTTGAAATGCAGAATGGGGAACTCAGTGAGTCTCTATATGAGGAAAAAAATGGGTGAGTGGGTAGGTGGAGCTCTCGCTGTGAAAGCCCTGGGTTCAACCCCAGGCATTAAATATAAATGAATATGCAGCTATATACATATATACATATGTATATCCATACATATACATATATACTATACATATACAATATGTGATGAATGATTGTGATAATAACAAAGTGGCTGTGATAAAATGTCAATATGCATGGAATCTGGCTGGAAAATCTATAAAACTTTATGGTAGTATTCTGATAATATTTCTCACAGTCTGAGACCATTTCAAAATTGAAGAGACAAACAACGAGATAGATAAGTCCCTGCTGGGTGGGTCTGAGGGCCTTGGGAGGAAACACACCAGTACTTGAGCACCCAGCAGAACACTGGAGAAAGCGTAGGGATTTGCCCTGCCTGTGGGAAACTCTGATGCAGAAACGATAAGAGTTTTGGGGACAGATGGTTCTCAGAACTCTTGGGATGCCTGGAGGAGGGTGGACAGCAGTCTGTGCATGTAAACTCGCACATACACATGTGCATGGATGGAGACAAGACATGGGGAGGGCTTTGCAACTTTCTAAGGAAGAGGACATCACAGAACCTAGGAGAGGGGAATACCTTTTCACCTATGAGAGTCACCTTTTCTTTCACTAAGTTAAAATTGGACAAAAAGTCACAAAGCCCACGAAATGGTTTATTTTATTTTGTCTATTTTGTTTTTATCGGTACCAGGGATCGATCTCACGACTGCCTGCTTGCAAGGCAGTCGCTTATGCCGCTGAGCTAAATCCCCAGGCCCACAAAATGGTTTATGAGAAGGGAGGGGGGCTGGGGATTTAGCTCAGCAGCATAAGCGCCTTCCTTGCAAGTGTGAAATATTGAGTTCAATATCCCTGTTACCGATAAAAACAAAAAAAGACCAAAAACAAACAAACAAACAAAAAAAGAATACTGTGGCTGTATTCTTTAGGGGCTGGGAATTTAGCTCAGTGGCATAAGCACCTGCCTTGCAAGCAGGCAGTCATGAGTTTGATCCCCGGTACCGATTAAAAAAAAAAAAGAGAGAGCAGGGTCTCAGGCCAAGCTCTACATGTGGTCTCCTGGAGTATCTTCCTCTGGTAAATCCCAGGTAAGCTGTCCTAGGAGGTGAGAGACAGCTAACTGCTAATTGCAAGGGTGACATTCAATGCCATTCACGACTCATGCACCTCTCTGGCTGTCGAGGAGAATGGAGTTCTAAGCTAAGTTCTTTATGGACACAATACACTATAGACCACTGCTTCCATGGTCACAGATGCAAGTGGCAGCAGTAACTTTCTTCCTGTCTGCTTAACCAGCAATCCCAGATGAAATAAAGGTTCCACTCCCGCCAGCCTACCTGCTTTGGAACCAGCACCTTAGGCACCCTAGTAAGTGCTCTACCAGTGAGCTCCACCCCAGCCCAATCTTCCTGCTTTATAACTTTGACTCACTGAAAATGTAAAGATCAAAAGAACCCATCCACAACCACAAAATAAAACTAAAATAAATAAAACCTTTAAAAAGTCTCTTAAAAAACCAGATCAAATTGTAGAAATTCTCCAATCCTAATTTATCTCCTTGCCATAAGCTCTGAATTATGATGATGTCTGAAGTAACAAGAGTTCATGTGACCCACTCCCTTCTTCAGTGAAACAGTAGATCTAAACAGTTTTGGAAACAACCGTTATTTTAAAGAACTCCCAAGGAAATGCTACTTTTTTTCCCAGCAGCATACTCTATCTTCTTTAATACTTTTTCAGACAAGAAATTCTTTCGGCTTTAAATTGAATTTCTATTGTTTTTACACCATTTGCCATACCCTTTGAGGGTCAGAAACTGTCTCCCCACTTTGAGGGAACACCAACCTCTTTTCAACTATATAACAACCTTTCACCACACTCCTTTACCCACATCAATGTAGTGAACGTCCAGGAAAAAGAAAACCTGGAACATACCCCAGGACAACCTTGCCTGGTCAGATCCTGCTGGGTGGCATTCATTCCAACAGTCCTTTGCCATCCCGAAAGAGTTCCATCGTGCTTTGTGGTTGGCATTCAAAAACACAAGGTGGACTAGGACTCACTGCACAGGTCACATAGACTGAGCCTCTCTCAGGGACACATCTCTGTTACCTGAGTAGTCCTCTCCTGCAGAACAGGAGAGCTCTGGGCTCAGTACTAGACCGTGCTGCACAAGAGACATGGTACTCTACTTGCTGTGTGATTCTTACCTGGTAAGTACTACTCATTTCTTAATTTTGGGAAAAACCTTATTGTGGGCAGCAAGCATATCACTTTGAATATTTAATTCAAATGAACAAAAATACATCTAATGTAGATTACTAAGGGAACTATCCTTAATGGTCACACAGAAGGGCTCAGAGGTGTGACACATACATCTGATCCTTAATGCAAGGGGTTCATAGGTGTAAAAATACAGAGCCAACAGAAATTGAGGAGCATCAAAGAGAAAGGATTTTGAGTGGGTTCTCATCTATGGGCAGGATTCTGAATGGACAGAGGTTAGGGAAGGAAGAAGAGGTCATGTCAAGGAAGAAACAGCATGGACAGGAATGGAGTGATGGTGGGGCTGGGGATTTAACTCAGCGGCATAAGCGCCTGCCTTGCAAGTGTGTAATCGTGAGTTCGATCGCTGGTACCGATAAAAACGAAAAAGACAAAAAAAAAAAAAGAATGAAGTGACAGAAGCTTGCTCAGCTATCTGAGGAAAGGCCAATTAGAGAATGAAATGGAAGGGGGTGTTGGAAGATCTTGAATATTGAACTAAAATGTTCACTTTCTTCTATACGCATACACACTGTCCAAAGTTTAATGCTTGAATGGCTGCTAAGATTACCAGGAAGCATTACAGTTAAGAATGGTGCCTGCAAAAAACGAAAACAAAAACACAAAACAAAAAGAACCTCTAGTAAAAGATAAATAGTTCTGCCTTTAGAAGTGATTACAGCTACGACTATAAAACAAAAGTGACGAACTGCCAGGATGATCCTTCTTAGAATAACCAACTTCCGAGATAACTAGGTGAGGAAAGAAAAGTTCAGACTAGGGTAAAAAATTGATAAACAGGAATATTATGTAAAACAAAAAAAATAACCTTTATGTCTCAGTGACTGATTATACAAATCACTCCAAAACAGCTATAGTTATTTTATCCTCAGACTTAATATTTTCCTAATAGCAAAGATTTAGATGCAATATATTTCCGCATCAATTTCTGTAAACATAATTACATTATGGTTTTTCAAAGTAATATACCTTATTAAGTTTACACGATGTGCTAAATTTTCCTTTCAGTTAATAATCAAACTACAATCCAATCTGATCAGCAGTACACACAATTCTGAGTGATGGATTTTCACATGGCCAGAAGTGACTGTTATCACAGGATATACTGGTCTTCAGGTTACCTGGATATTCTGAATTAATTTTCCAAGTGTAGGCTTAATACTACATTTATACATATTCAGTGCAAGATTAACAAGGAGAAAAAAGTGATCCATTTTTTAAAACGTAAGGCCAACAATACTGCTCAGCACCACAGCGCCTGCCTGGTAAATGTGAGGTAATGAGTTTGATCCCTGGTTACCCCCACCTCACCCCCAAAATCTTATGCATGTGGGTTTAACTGAGGAGAATCGGAAGACACAATGTATATAGAACTTCCTTAGGAAACTGATAGTTATAAATGCTGTAATAACTTCCATAATAGAAAAAGGAAATTAACACAAACAAGATGAAAGTTGTTTCTATTATTAAAGCTTAGGAGAGGCCATCTAAAGAGTTGTTTTTCTAAATGGAAATATCCCTTTCCTGCTCTGTACTGTACAAGATTACAGGCAAAATTTGAGAAAGCTGAAAATCCTTTAAAATAACACTTCCTTTAGATTTAATGGCAAATAATTGCCTCTTTCAGTGATAATGAACATGACCACCACAGAAAGGAATGCAATTCTGCAGGTTCATTCAGGGTAATGGCTTTGTGAGCTGGTGACACAGTGGAGAGATTTGGTCTCAATTTCCTAGAGTACAATAAGTGAGGAGCAGTAGAATTTTCACTGGAGGAAGAAATTTTCTAGCCTATGTAAATATAAACAGAAAATCCATTATCTATTGATAAAAACAACAAGGAAGGTTAATAAAGTTTTATGTGTTACTGTTGTAAGAGGCACCAGCTCACTGAGTCATGAAAGTAAATAAAGCACTTCACTTACTGAAATCAATGAGAAACCGTCCAAATCCTTGCCTTTGGTGCTGGGGCATGATCATTATGCAGGAGACATTATACTTCTGCTGGCAAAGCTTTTCCTGGGGGAAGGAGAAACAGATCAAGTATGTCAGAGCTCTGCTGAAGTGGGCAATTCCTGCATGTGCCGCTGTCCTTGTGAAATAGTGCACTAAGGGGAGGGAGTGGGGTGGGTGAGGATTACGCAGCATACTGAGTTACTCAAACAACTATCAGCTGACAACAGCCCATCAACTCCAGGTTTGCCTCTCAATTACTTCTTTATTCTTGAAAGACAGTACCACAAAACTCAAATAACATAGGAATAATGAATGCAAGGAAATAGAAATCAAATGAAACAGTACAGACAGCATGGAAGAAATGCTTTCCTTGCTCACACAAGTTCGAGATACAAAATAAAAACTCAGAGGTGTCCAGTGGATTAAGCTAGGGTTTAGACGGTAACCTTGCTAAATAGTAATTTACTACTCTGCAATAGCAATCTGCCTTTTGTTTTTTTGGGCAAACGCCTAGTGAAACTAAATTAGGAGACATGTGGGTAAATGCTCATAAATACATTTCTCCTGTGAATAAAAAGTCAAAGGAAAAAAACCCCAGAAATTAACCAATCTGCATCTCAAATCAAGTAAACCACACAAAACATAAAGGTGGCACAAGAAACCCCACAGCCTCAAACAAAGTAAGACCAAAATATTACCAATAGTCATTAACCAGTATAATACGGTGAGAGACAGCTCAGAGTTTTTGAAAAATCTGCTAATTGCATGGGTACAGCATTAGGACAGCAATACTTTATTCCAGGTACACAGAAGCCACCAAAACATACAGAGAAGATCTGGAAAAGGTTTTTGAGGTTGTGAAATACAAACCACAAATGAGATGACCACAAATGGAAACAACCACATAAAAGAATTGCTTCAGAACACCCAGATCTGTAATGAATCTATTTCAAAGATCACAGGAAATGAATGAGGAAAAAACCTTAAAGGAAAGAACTAAAGATTTCTTGGTGAAAAAGATGAGGTCCCAACGTTTACATATTTGCAGCTCTCTGTAGAGCCTTAAACAAATGAGGTGGAAGCAATAATGTGAGTCCATATGCTTAGAAGACGGATAGCCCAGCACTGCATGTACACACCAAGGGCAATCACACTTTGCAAAGTTGGATGAGTGGGTCACTCCATCTATAAAGAGACGTACTGTGAACGGGAACCACACATCCTAATGACATTACTTTCCTTGTATAGAACTACGTCCATCTTAAGAAGTTTAAATCTATTCAACAGAGATCCTTTCTCTTTAACACATGCCCTGACTGCAACAGGCTTATCTGGATACTCTAAGTGCTTCTCCAGTCCTTCCTATGTTGGAAAGTGATAACATTCATGAACCCCATATTACCCATTTCATGGCTATTTTTAAGTGGTCTTTCTAATAAGTTCTAATGTCTGGGTTAATATAACTCCAAAGGGCTAAAGTCCTTCATATTCCAAGTGAAATGTCAGCACATGGGTTAATTTGCACGTGGTCACTTAATATGGGACATTTTTAGATTATTTTTTTCTATCCCGCGAGAAAGCATCAAGCGCTTTTTTTGTTTGTTAGTTTTGTTTGGTATATATGTATGTTTTGTTTTTTTAATACAGGATCTCACAGTCTAGTCTAGACTGAACTTGAACTCACTATGTAGCTCAAGGTGGCTTTGATCTTATGGTAATCCTTCTGCCTCGGCCTCCAAGTGCTGGCTGACAATGTACCACTACAACCGGCTGAATCAGTATTTTGGGATACTAAGTAATGACTGCAGCTGCAGTCATCCTGTAGAAGATGGAAGACAAAGTGAAAAAAAGTTGAGTCTGTTCCAAATGAAATGGACATGCTTGAGTCAACAATAACTGTACTTGCTGCTATAACCCAGAGGCGAGTGCAAGTCTCAGGAGGAGCACAACAAAGGACATGAAGTCAGGCACAAGGAAGTCTACACGATGGGTGCAACACAACATGTCTGTCACAGCAGCGACACAGGAAGATCCTAAAACAGAGGCCAGGAGGGGCAGTTTGGCAAGAACACGTCTCAAAATAAAAATAAAATGACTGCAAATGTAACTCAGTGGGAGAGCACCTGCATCTTATGTAGAAACCCTGGGTTCTATCCCAGTATCACCAAAAACAATCAAAGTAGCGATCACGTTCTCACAGGGAGGACAAATACTACACTATTCCTCTTCATTCTCTGGGGAAAAAGATCTCCACAAACCTACATAAAAAATAAGGTGTTCTGCAAATTATACAAGTAGATTTCCTGTTTTCCTCTATGTTAACTATTTGGCATCTTTTGAATCTGTAATGTGCAATTAACATTCTCCATTTTCACTGTTTTTACCAAATTAATAGATTAAATATTTGGGAAAAATATTCCATGAGTATTTATTTGTGTTTATGGTCTCTGGCTAGATTGAGAAGTGCCTATATATTTTATCTTTTGATTCTCCAGGAAAATGTACTTCAGTAAAACCTACAGCAATACCTGGGTTTATCAACACTTCTGACTGTAAACAATTCAGTTTACAAACAAAAGTGTTCAGCAAAATTTGGCTTCTTTTCACAAATTCTGCATTGGGTGACAAAGACAATCATGGCCATTTCACTCAAAATTCATAAAACAAGTTGGTGAAAAGAGGTACCATGATATTTCATTTACATGTAGAGTCATTTATCACTTAATACGAAGAAAAGGTGATATAAAATAAAGTAGATAGTTCTGATAATTCACCTCAGGTTAGAACTCTTTTAATTACCACCTCTGTTTATATAACCATTTCCTTAAGTTGCCTAAGCAAAATTAAGGTAAACACCTCCCTGGTAAACAGCCCGTCATTCAGGCACTTGAGTTACTGTTTCTCAGCAGCCTTTACACAGAAGAACGGGAAAGAATGCTCCGAGTCACAGAAAAGCTGCACCTTTGGCCCTCCGTGAGTCAACCTGCCCAGGCAAACAGATGGGTAAGCGAGCAGTCTTTCTAACAGTGAGGCTGCCTTAGCACGTACAACAGAGACAAGGAGTAAGAGAGTGAAGTGGGAGACACTCAGGGTATCCCGACTGCCCCAACGCCAACGGGCTAACTCACTGCGAGCTGTGGACCACGGAGGCAAGGCAATGAGAAGGAGAAAGCGCTCTTCCATGTACATTACACTGATCTTTCAAGTCCAACCCCACTTGGGGGAAAGGGAAATAAGCTTAACACTTAGAGAATCAAACATGCTAGGTGGTCTGCAAAGCAGCAATTATAATGTCACGCAGATGCTGACAGTCAGCACAGCACTCAGCGACAAGGTCCTATACACATTTCCTAGGCACCATGCTCTTTTGTCTCTTGTCTTTTTACATGAGCTCTGAACAAGAACCTGTGCTTTTCAGAAACATGTCACTTATTCAAATTACAGCCATAAAAAAGCCCTGTTCAAAGAATTGGGCTCTGCTAAAAACATTTCAAAAAAAGAAAACGGAAGGTCATGCTGGCTCTAGTTTTACCTTAGAGAAGTATCCAACCAGATGACAGCCTTTTTCATCATTTTTTGTAAGGACATAAAAAAGGAATGGCTCAACATCATAATACAACGTTTTGTGGTCCAGGAATAGCTTGGCTAACAAGCAAAGGTTTTGGCAATAAATTTTGCTCATATTCCCATCAACCTAGCAAAAGAAACAGACAACATTATTTAACATAGAAATAACACTCAATATAAAATTATTTCTTCTCCACGGTATTTCACCAAGCATATAATTTTATTTCTAAATCACAAACTGAGAGATTAAAACACTCCATTAAATAAGCATAGAGTTAAACAGAAAACAGCTGTCACTTGGGCAATTCAGAATTCTACCTGTTCGCTAAAACTAGAGTAATTTAAAGGTAGTTTACATTTCTCTTTGAGATATCTAAAGAAAGAACAAACTACTAGTGAAAGAGTAATTTTTATCTGCATTTAAAAATGATTAAGCATGTACTCTTTATTTGAACCAAATAAATCTGAATAAGGAAATGTAAAGAGATCAAAATACTTCAACTACATTACACTTTATGTTGTTTTCAAAAGGACTGCACATAAAAATAAATGAACTGTATTATTTTGATTCCTCAGAAGTACGGATTAGCAAAAGAGGCTTCCATTTTGGTTTTATCCCAAGTATCATTTTAAATATAATTGGAAAAGATAAAATTTCTATGTTGGGAATACTTAAAGAGAAAGTGAGATGAATTTCAACCTACAATAAGTACCATGATTACAGTCTACTGCTCTTCAAAATAAAAGAATCAAGCTGTGATACTGATAGCTATGGACAGGAGGCGAGGCGCAGATGCCAATTTTTTTGATCAAACATAGTTACTTGTTGAAAACAGAAAGCACAGCAGATTCCCAATACATTTATTAGGGGAAATGGATATTTGCTCACCAGAGCTCTTTAACAATGAACTTGACCATTCTCAAATCTCTTGTGGACCATACATGTTCTCATATTACACAAATTATTTTTAGACTCCATATAACTATTTCCCTTGGATGAAACCTAGGTCCCACACTTAGCAACATAATCAAATATAGGCAACAGGCACAGAAGATACAATTCTCTCTTTAATTAAAGGCAGTTTTTATGTATTTGAGAATATGGTCCTTTTGGAAATTATACTGTATTAAAAAAAAGGAAAAATGCAGATGTATGTATCTGTGAACCAAAAATAAAGAAATGACAAAGCTAAAGTGAAATTCTAACCAGTTGCAAAAGGTCTAATATAAGAGGGATATATACGAAGACAAGAAGAGAGCAATCTGTGACCTCACTGTCTTAGTAAAGTAGTGTAAGAAAAGTTGCTTACCATTGGAGTTGAAATACAGGTATTAACACCAATTCTAGAAAAAGCCGTTGGTACTTATCAACCCAAATTCCTTCTTTACATGAATAAACTCTGCAGCCTTTCTTTTGCTGTTCACTCACCTCATTTCTTTATGTTCCAAGTATAAGTACTGGAAGAGCTGATCATTCTCACCCACTAACAAGATGCGCTACCTTCCCTCTGGGACAACTTATGAGCTTCAGCCTCATAAGCTGACTCATGCTGATTTATTTAATAATGACTTAAGCATAACAATATGCTTTGTCCCTCAGGAAACAATCAAATAGCAATTTCAATTTTATTTTGGTTAGAAGAAAGGATCTAAGGGATCCAGGAAGGAGACACGAGGTGTGAGCAACAGTGAAGTCTCAAGTGAGAGCTGCTCTCTCACCTTGACTGGGGAGGTTTGGTGGGGAGCTCTCAGCACAGCTAGGCAATGTGCATTTGGTTTTACTTGTAGCTTGGTAATTCCCGCTGAGACCAGTTTTGTTCTCCAGTCCCTGGGACATTTGTTTACATTGGGAGACACTTTTTAGTGGACAGACACACTTTACAATGTATAGTAGAGTCCTACAGTAATGAATTCGCAATCTTGGAATGTCCATAGCGTCCAGGCTAAGAAACGCTGCGCTCGTTTTTAAAGAAGAACTAACCTTATGAACCTTCGCCCCTTTCCCTTAAAGCCTGCCAAATGAGTCTGATGTAACAAGGAGAAATTGGATCCAAGTGAATAAAAAAAAAAAAAAAAACCAAGGAGAAGATTTTTAAAGATGGAAATCACACCTGGAATTTGCAATGTTCTATGGCCAGTCTTGGGAAGAACTAGTGGCTCCAAGCTGCTGGAAAGCAAGCTTGGTCCACACGAGGAACTATGACACCGGGGATGTCAGGCCGGGGATCTGAGAACTGTCAGGAAGAATAATACATTTCAGACTGATCAACTTAACAGAACCTAAAAGCTAAACTGTATGTCGCAGAAAGAAGGTCTGTCTGCTCCATAAGAAGGTTTCTTGGTGATAACACAGGAATGAAAAACAATCTGCACAAGGGTTAACAGAGAATGTAAAGCAGGGCAATGAAGTATACAAATGCTGTGAAGAGGAGAACATTGAGAAGCCCTGCGAAAACACAATGCCAGGAAAGCAACACATGAAATCTTCAAGGTATGACAGATTCTGCTAGAGTGGACCTTGAAACTGACAACGAAAACATGATTAAATAATGAAACCATAGAGAGCCAAAGACTTTCTGCTACTAAATCATTTCTGAAACTAAGAAATATTTTCAAGAAATCCAAATTACAGACATATGGCCACAAGGGGTTCCTGTGAATAGCAGAGTTCTCCAGGGGTGGCCATCTACCCAGATGGGAGGAGGCCCAACATCTGCTGGGGTCTCACCAAAAGGATTATCCACCCTGCCAAGAACTGGATGGAAACACAGGTGGTTGTGTATTGAGGAGATATGTACAGCTGCTTAATTCCCTGGAAGAATGAGCACCTGCCAGACATTGGCTGGAGCTGCCGAACAAAGCTAATTCTCCTGCCAAAGAAAGTAGAATTGACAAAGAGCTGAGGAGATCATAAATTCACTGGTGAATATGTGTGGTGCAGACAGGGTTTGGGGAAGACAAAAATGTTAATGTGATGGAGTGGGGATTCTCCACTGAGTGAAATGGCTGCCTAACATGATTAAACATTCCTGAAACATGGAGATATTTTAAAGAATGGTCTGAATTTTGGTGCCAAAATCAAATATACTTTGTAGCTTCTAGACACAAATCTCACAAGCACATAGTCAACAATTAGGAATATCAGCTTTCAAAATGCTGAGATTTTTATTTACACATTCTTACCTCAAATACTGAAAGGTCTTTCCTTCGGTAAATTTCATTTGCTGGAGGATGAAACCATCCACACTTCTTTGAGTGTCTTAGCAAAATATTTTTACTTTTCATATATTTAAGACAGAACTCACACAGGTAAAGCTTTGGTAATCTGTTAAAAGTTTAAAAGTCAAACACTATCAGACTGATGATACTGCTAAAGGGAGAGGAATTATTGTTTAATTTTCTCTAAGTCACATAAAGGCTATGAAAATATTTGAAATAATTTATAAAAAGCAAAAATAATTTTTAAAGGTAGTAGTAAAGAGAATGTAAAGCTAACTTAATACTGTTTGTCATTATACTCCAAAATGAGTGTTTAATGTTTAATTTGTAACCAAATCATTGGACTCCTTAGAAATGTTCTAGAAAGCAGTTTTCAGACTGGAGCCATCACTCTAAAAATTAACAATAAGAAAGTCACATGCTGTGATGTAACCATGTGTGTTTTCAAAACTCAGATTTAATGTTATATTTCCAAAAGTCTTTATGGTCAGTGCTATAACTACAATAATCGTTTCCTTAGTGAAGTCTCAATTTTAAAAGATGATCTGCATACTTATGAGACAAGTCCTAGTCCCAGTCCTAATTGCTTTCATTTCCACTTATGAATGAGGTAATTAAAGTTATCCTAGATTTATACTGCATCAAAAGCAGTAAATTGCAAGGCTCAAAGTCAGAAGACCTGAGCTGTTTTCTACCAATTCTGTCTGAGTAAAAAATACCTTTCTCAGCCCAAGGTGGACTTTTTTTTTTAACCTTAGAACTACAACATTTGGGGGCTGGGGATTTAGCTCAGCGGAATAAGCACCTGCCTTGCAAGCAGGCAGTCGAGAGTTCGATCCTTGGTACCGATAAAAATGAAAAAGACAAAAAAAAAAAAAAAAAACAACAACAACAAAAAAAAAACAAAACAAAACAAAAAAAAAACAAAAAGAACTACAACATTTGCTGGGAGTGGTAGCACATATTTATAATCACAGTCACTGGAGATTGAGGCAGGAGTATTACCACCCTGGGTACATAGTAAGTTCAAGGCCAGTCTTAACTACATAGACTTAAAAATGATAGAAGATTGGGGCTGGAGATTTAGCTCAGCGGAATTAGCACCTGCCTTGCAAGCAGGCGGTCATGAGTTTGATCCCCAGTACCGATTAAAAAAAACAAAAACAAAAACGAAAACCGAAAAAAGATCAATTATTATTTGTACCCTCTTCCTGCTAAAAGAAACTACTGTTGGTATTTAAAAGAAAATGTTTACATGTACTTCAAGGTCTTTGGGGTGCAGGAATGGGATTTTAAAGAAAAAAATACACAGATAATATGGAGTCCCAATCCTATAGCTAAGTATAAATTTTATTCAGTCCTCCCAGGCAGATAACTTAGAGTTATCATACACATTAAAGCTTAAATATATTTTAAAAATATTTAAAAACACACAGTTAAGTGATCAGGTTGAATTGCTTAGTTTTCCATTCAACTTCAACACCTTTCCCATCTTCATGCCTGGCCAGACCTCAAGTCTGGCAAAGAAAAGTGTAAGATTCTATTCTAGAATGCAAACAAGTTCAAGAACATAACAAGCTAAAGATCTGAGAAGATGAAAAGTGTACCCTGATATATCTAAAGGGAGAAATCTACTCACAATATACAGCTGCTTAAGGATATCTTGCCAAAGCCAGTCTCAGAGCAAAGCCTGACTGAAGACAAATGAAAAAATTCTGATACTATTATATTCCCATATTTAGTAAGTTACAAATGCCAATGAAAGAAAATACTTGGGAAATGATCTTAATACTTTACAATAGCTAAAAGATTACTTTCCTGATTTGATTTCCCATAAAAACTAACATCTGCCTATTAAGCAAAGAAAGCAAGCATGATCTAAAAATTTATAGGACAAGATTTTGTTTTACTTTTTTTTGCAGGGAGCAGGGAGGAGCCCAGGCACCAAGGATGGAACTCACGACGTCGTGCTTATAAGACAGGCACTTGTGCTGCTGAGCTATGTCTTTAGCCCCAGGACAAATTTTTATTGCTTTTGTAATCAAGAAGTAAAAGTATCTAATTCCTGCTTCAGAATGGAGAATTTTCTATCCTTACATGCACAGTCTACCAGATCTATCCCCTTACCTTGCGTATTCCTGTGGGTAAGGCGAGGAGTACCAGGTTTGGATTTCATATTTTCCAAATTCTATTACGGAAGGGTACCGGCCACAGTCTTCCACCCCACTTTCACACTCTATTTTCTGGTGAGGGGAAAGGGGATTATAAAATACACATAGTAAGAGTACAGTTGTCACAGTTTTGTTTTGTTTTGTTTTTTTTAACTAGAGGATACCAAAACCTATCAAAACCAGAAAACTAGCCTTGTGAATTTGCATGTTGTTAAAAATGCACTATAGACACTCATAAAATAATTTAACATTCATACATAAATAAACATGCTAAGATCTGACTGATTCAGTCACAATGCATTAAAACTCTGATTAAAAGATACAGGTAATATAGACGTGTTTGGTCCTTTTCCTCCACAGAATATTTATTTCAACTGGTTTCTTACTTGTTTTTTCTTTTTTTTTAACTCACGAACTCCCACTTGCCAGGCAGCCACTGTACCACTGAGCTGTAACTCTGGCCCTCCAACTGTTTTTAAGTAATCAGTTATGAAAGACGCAGTATTAACTTCATATTTCACTAATTGTAATGTATTGATATATAAGGTTAAAAATTCATCTGCCTGATTTATTGTGGTACCTTCAGCATCTAGTACACTGCATGACACAGAACAAGAAATATTTCTTGAACAAAAAGAGCTAATTTTACTATGTTGCAATGAAAGGATTATCCATGCGATAGTGGCTTTGAGAGAATAGCCTGTTGTTTACTGTACATCTACATGAACTTGAAGAGGCAGAAAAATCCTAACATTTAAAGGCATCAAATCAATGACTGGGGGAAATTTGACATTTGTCTTCACCAAAGCATCTGTTAGGGAAATAATTAGGAATGAGAATACTCCATAGTGCCTAAAATAAAAAGCATCCAAAGTTCTTGGCCCTTTTGGCTGCTACCCAGAGTAACCTCACAAGCCCAGAGTGCACATACACCGCCCCGTGTACACAACAGGGATGGGGTAGTGTACCTGGAAATACAGCCAGAGACATCACATGTGGGCCAGTAATATAAACAATTGAGAATAATCTAACAAATCTGTGTCTAAGAAGTGCACGAAACACCCCTACTTTACAATGTTCGGGTGTCAGTAAGTTAAGTATAGTTAATATTTTAACTGGAATCATGTAAAGAAATTACTAGACAGTGAAAATAGAAATGACTTCAATGATTTATGAAATACAATATTGCTCTCATCAATGCCAGAGAGTTAAAAATATGCGACATTTTTCATATGGCTAGCCATCTGTGTCGGGAGAAGCATCGGTAAATTGAAAGGCGATGTTCTTTTGGTGATAATTTTAAATTGTCATTTTCTAAGTTAAGGCAAACATAGTCAGAAATCTATTTTTTTCATACCTAGTGGTGTTTTTCCAAAATCTATCTCATCTAGCACTACTGCGGTCTATTTGGTGAGGCCAGCCGAGTCTTTTCCTACCTTGAAGAGAGGTAATTCTAGAAATGCATTGCTTTAGGGGACACAGTCAACAAAAACGAGCCTAGTGTCTATCAAGCCATAAGCATACATATTCTATGAAATCAACACGGTAATCTTGAAGCTCCGGGACCAAGTGTGACTCTTATTATAATGTGGTGCCCTGTCCTTACCTCCCAAGACAGTTCCTGGGCCTGTTTAAAAACATCCAAATCCTCTTCAGTAACGACATCCTTGTTTCCAATCACATTTACATCTGTATTTTCTTGTTTGATGCTTATTTTTATTTCCGTATCTGTTGTTTAAAACCAGCAGAAAGTGTATTCACTGAGCTGAATCGTAAGTAACCAGCATATATTACCATAATGGTGGCAAATTAGCATAGCGGGCAAATAGGGATCACTTGTTTTCTTTTTTGAGCATTGTAAGTAAGGTTTGATCTCTAAACACTGCTCATAGACCCAGCAGTATCCTTTCCATATTATAGCCAAATTTGTCTGAATTAATCAAGATCATTGTTTTACAACTTTATTTAATAAAAAAGGCAAAGTCAGAGCAATATTAAACAAAATCACATTTTCCACAGAAGATCATAAGTTAAATCAATGTCTAGTTGTAGCATTCCCATAATCGGTTTTGAGATAACAAAATCTACCACTTTTTCCAAATGATACATTTTTGCTTTTTGTTTCATACAGGGTAGCAAATTTAATGGGCCAATTTGTATCATGAAATTAGGAAATCTGTTTTCTCCCTATGGTGGATACACACACAGACACACTCAAATCCAAATGCACACGTCACAGAATCACAGATCAGGCTTTGTTGAGACGGAAGCAGATGGACTTTGTCATGAGAAAGCAATGGAGCAGAGGGAGATGACGAGCTGAACACCCCCTGTTGGAGGTGCAACAGCACGGGACGGAGTGGCGCTGCGGCAGAAGAGGCAGCATGGAGAGGACATGGCAGAAGCATGACAGTGTCTACTCATGCGGGACTACGAAGCCATAAGCAACGCTATGGAGGCATCTGGGGTCCTAGTGTCACTAGGAATGGAAATAAATTATAAAAGGTGGGAGAGTATTAGTTGGAAAAACAACATTTTGGAGGTTTAGTGAGCATCAGAAAAAGGTCAAACTTTCACTGCTTCTGTATGAAAGTGAAGTGAGAACGAGAGAAATAGCTAAGACCTATGTGACAAATAGGAATTTGTTTATTTTTTCTTGGGGTTGGGGAGAAAGGGACGGGGCGCAGGTTTGGTTGGAGCTTTGACCTTTTGCTTACCATCATCCTGATCAGGTTTAATCCTTCCGTCTGCCAAGCTCCCCTTCCCTGGTGAGGGGGTCCCCATCTGAGGGGTCACTTTATATTTTAATCTGCCTAGCATCCTGTGCTTTTTAAGGAAAGTTGTTCGCTTGAAGTGAGCAATTGCTTTAAAAATACGTCCTCTAGCCATCCCCCAGCTAGAGGAGGAGTGAGAAATAAACCTACTTCTAATATCTCTTTTTCCAAAGAAATGGGCTTTAGATTTTGCCGTGGAAGGTAAGTCAGTTTTACGACGCATACGTTTGGGTGGTGCATAACTTGGGTGTCCCTTTTTTCGAGACTGTCCCTGAGTGGTATAGATATGAGAAAGTCCATCAAAGAGTGCCTTCAGCTGGCTGTTATTGGTAAGACTGCTGAAGGAGGGCGCACTGGACTGGCTGGAAGAACTCTGGGGAGAGGTAGAAGAAGTGGAGGTGCTGGACTTTTGTGAACTGGGGCTCTGACCAGAGATGGGGTTTGGGGGTGGAAGTGAAGAAGGTGGAGGTTTTAGCTTTTGTGTGGTACCTGTAGCCAACACATGAGAAGTGCATGACTGTTTCTGAGAGACCTTTTTCCTTGGACGATAGTGCTTTGAAAAGTCAATTATTTCACCTCGTGATCTGCGACCATCAGGTGATGGTGTAAAAAACTTAGTAAGGCCATCAATGAGCCCTTTGGTTTTCTTGTTAACTTTAAGTGTAGAGGCAGAAATGTAGGTGGAGGTGGTGGTGATTTTGGTGGTGGCACCAGGCCGAGTGGGGTCTGTAACAGCCAATCTGCTGCTTGAGTCCTTCCCAGATGCAGCATGACCAGATGAAGGTGTGGTACAGACTTTAGTCTTTTGACCCCTACCAGGTGACCCCCTTCCTGTGAATGCATTCATGGATCCTTCATCACTGGTTACAGACCTAGGCAAAAATTTAGAGAATAGTATCAGCATTTAATAATAGAATTATAAAGGTATCTAAAAACAAGTTTATAGCAACTAGATGCATAGTCAATGTGCTTAAACTTCAGAGATTGAACTGAACTCCTAAGAACTGTTTTTGTGTATGTGCCACCACCTAGATGTTTCTCTGGTGAAAAGGTGACGGCAACTGTATTTGCCTGTCATGATTCTCCCAGGGCCCATCCAGCGGGTACACGAAGAAATCATTTGGACCAAAGGGCTACATAAGGAAGGAAAATTATGGACAGACTGAAGAACACTTAACGGTTTCATTATAATTAAATAAAAGTTATCCCCTATGTTGTCACAAGTAATTATGATTTTCTGAAATGTCTTTGTTAAAAGTACTAGAGGAAGTCAGTCATGTGTTACTCAGAAGCAAAAGAGTGAGTTTATTTAATCTCTAGTTAAAGTAATTTTTAACATAATTTGAAAATTCAGATAAATACAACGAATATGTCCATAAATTTATACTTTAAAAAGTTAAGGAAAAAAAAAAAAAAGATACCCTCTTCTACCAGTTTATGCTTAGGATAATGTAGCCAATAATACTCTCTTAGGAGAGAAGACAATTAATTACAGCATAAAATACTGCTGAAAAAAAGGACAACAATAGCAAAAAACTGAAGAAATGATTGAAGGAAAGCTATAGCGGGTCAGACATGACATGGAGAGTCTGGTGAAGAAGCAGCACATTTACCATGGTCATTATCAGACACTTGGCGCCGGATTCTGACTGCTATTTCCCTTCATTTGATGCTGGGTTCACACACACTGTTGTGACACAGCTGCCCACATGAACAGTGGCTGCATGCCTGCCCCACAGACCGGGGCTTGGGCAGTTACCCATTTCATAGCAGGATTTTGTACAATAGAAGCATCTGCATGTGAATTATGATGATACTGGGACAGAATTATGCACTTGTCAATTTAGCTGAAGGTTAATAATGGAGAAATGGAAGCCTGAAAATGGTATGATATTGAATTACAAAAATATCTTAAAGTAGTTATAAATAAAAGAACACATTTTAGGGGCTATTTTGTGCACAAAAATTTAATTTCTATGAGGCTCCTCTGAGTCGGTGCAACTGCCAGGAGCTTTGCTTGCTGCCATAGGTTTAACCAAATCAGGTGGGTGCTGAAGGTCTCTAGTGTCACTAGATGATTCCATGTGGGCTACCCACGAACGACTCATCCCACAAAAATGCTTCACATCAGAATGCTGCCTTGGACTAGATCTGAAATTGGCTGCCCCAGAAAGGATAACATGCTTATAAAGCATGTGAAAAGGAAAACTCCCTAGACTGTCTTAAAAATTCCTAAGCTCAAAGGACAAACAAAAAGTTAGGACTGGTGCCAGACGCAATTTTCAGCTCTATCCTTTGTTTAGAAAGTTTATATCCTAATTTGGTTTTTTTAATTAGGCCCCAAGGATACAGTCCCATTTCAAGAACAATGCTTACACAAGATGAATGCAAAAACATATAATTTCTACTTCAAATGATACTAATATGAAAGATTATATTTATAAGTATGCTTTACGTTTGTCTCTAAAAACTAAATATAAATCAATTTTAAAATGTCTGCTGGTTAAAAGATTTTACCTTTTCATAGAAAACTCTAGAAAAGAGCGTTTTCTGTTTCTTCCTTGGGAGATAAAAGTACAGGAAGATAATATTTTCCTGAGAGTAAATTAATACAAAGAATTACCTCAGGAAAAATTAGGGAAAAATATAGCAAGCAAGTAAGATTTGTAGTGTTTGTTTAAGGTGGAGGTAGAGCACCTGTTCATTTTTAAATCACAATGGCCCCTTTCACTACGGCTATAGAGATGGTGACAGCCAAATGGGTGAACTCTCAGATATCCAAGTGGACTGGTTTCATTCGTCAGCACTCCACTTCAAGCAGATAGTTCAATCTATAGTCTGTCTATACAGGTCAAAAATGAATTCATTTCACTTTTTATCTCTTCTCAACAATTCCAACTACGTCCTGCTAAATGCTGTACTGGGCTTTGGAGGCAATTATATGGTAACAGGATAGAGGAAGCAGGGTTATCAATGTAGATGTACAGACTGCTGGACACGTATTACGTCTGCACGCTTATGCGTGTGCCAAATGGTCTTCTTTGGGGACAAACAGTCATTGGCAGATTTCTCAGAAACTCCTAATTGGAAAAGAAACTTTAAAAAGGGCTAATACAAAATTAGTATCAGAAGTGTTTTTCGAAAATGTTATCTGGAGTGACAAAAAAGATTCACTACAGACATGGACAAATTTTTCATTTTTAAAAAATTCATATGCAATATTTACATAATTAAGCTTTTGTAATGCTCAGCCAGTGAAAAAGTAGGCTGAAGGACCATCTCCCAATCTTGTATTCTGCTTCCATTACTGCTGCTTAGAAAGTCAGTATCACAGCTACCGCCAACCAAAGACCCCATAATACCAACTGCAGTTTAAAAATTACTATTTCAAAGAAATTTCCACAGCTTATACAAGAGGAGAAATATTCCTCATCCTCTGAACTTTGAAAAATGATGCTAAAAAAAGCTGAATGGAACCTAAAGGGGTACAATCACCTATATTTTAAAGCACAACATAAAAGATTTCTTTGATAAGATCTCAACCTACAACAATCGTTGCTTTAATTTATTTTTCGGTCGTCCAATGGGTTTTGCATATCGTCGTTTTATTTGTGCAGCTTTCTCATGAAGTAGTTTTCTTCCCTTTTTCTTTGGTCTGCAGACTTGGCAAATCCACATCCCTGAATTAATATATATATGAGAAAAATATTTTAATGTTTCATTTTAGGAGAAGATATTAAATATAAACTGCAGCTGTTTTAGGCTGCCCAGGATGCCTGTATGCAGAACTTGAAGGAAGTTGGTGGTTCCCTTCCTCTGTCACTCTCCTCCCTCAGGAAGCCATCACTGTAGAACTTCCCGGGGGGCAGGGAGATGAGAGCTGAGTCTACTTCAATCTCACAAACCTTCTCTAACATTACACCCAACATGTCACCAACTCTCCCTTCACCACAAGGAAACTTGCCCGTCAGTAATTATCTAGCTTTTTAATTGGAGGAAAGAATTTCCATTAAATCAGCTTTTGAAACTCCTAGAAAAAATGTATTTGCTTTGTGATCTCTTTCTAGAAATTTTCATTAAAGTATCATTAAAGATACAAAATATGATTTTAAAACCAAAACTTTGAAATGTGGAGTACTATCTGGCTACAGGAATTGAAACTACACATCTGCACAGGGAAACAGACCAGTGGGTAAAAACTGAAAGACCAGAACTCATGGCTATAGACAAATTTAGCATATCAAAAAGGTTATAATTCAAATCAGTGGGGCATAAAATGATTCAATTAACTACCTGGAAGGAAAACAATTATTTCCTGTTTTCTAACTTACAAAAAGAAAAAAACCTTCTAGACAGATGTTACAAAAAAAAAAAAATGTATCTGAAAAAATATATGGATATTTAATCTGAACATGACTGACACTTAAAATGAAACCATGAATAAAAAGTTTCATGAATTTGACCAAATTTAAAAAAAAATAAACTTGTGCAGATTTGGAAAATGATGAAGGCCCCAATAGAAAATGATTAATGAATCAAAGCAATTACTTTACAGATGAAGATACACAGCCACCCCTTAATCAGACACAAAAAATGTTCTCACTACAGAAAGAAAAATTTACCAGACCTTTTTTCCTATCATCAAATTGGTAGAAGGAAAAAAATTTTTTTGCACAATAAGGCTGTATTTCAACACATTTAAGGTAGGTGTTGGCCTTAATAAGAGGAACGAAATTTTCTCATACATGGGTAGTCAGTCTAAAAACCAGTACAGCTATTTATATATGTGGCTTCTGACCCAGCAATTCCCCTCCTTAAGAATCAGCTTTAGGAAATAATTGTAGATTGAAAAAAATGGGCAGTATCTGAAATGCCCATCATAGCGAGTTGGTTAAATAAATTGTGGTTCATTTAAAAATGAAGCTGCAAAATCAGATGCCTGCAGGAAGCCGCTGGATTGTGTATGATTGAAGCAAGTTGAACGTAAGACAGTAAGGAGCAGTGAGACTATGGCAAACTAAAGCAAGCATGCCCCACCTAGAGAGCTCAGAAGTACTCAAGCGCTGTCCAAAGCCAACAAAGCTAATCTGTTGGCCTCAGTCATTAGATTGCCAACTCCTGCTCTATACTGTAGAATTTGGAACTTTTAATGATATGAGAATGCTTATAATCTATCATAACCTATGCTGTTATTGAGAGGGGAAAAGTAGGTCTATAAAACCAGGCATGCAATGCTCCTCTTCTTTGTAGAAGTGTATATGGAGGCGGTAGGAATTTCGAATTGATTTTTCTTTGAATTTCTTTTCTGCCTGTATTTATTTTCCATTCCTTTCACAATGAAAATGTATGCATTTCATAACAAAAAGGCAGTTATAGTGAAATGTTTATTATATTGTGAATTAAGGTGGAAAAGGAGAATTAGTTTGCTTATACAATAAAAATCTATATTCCATCAGACACAAGATTAATTGTTTAAAACATCAATTAATGGCCAGGAGAACTGTGATGGCTTTCTGTCAGAGACCTCTGAAATCATCACTATCATCATGAGCTGTGAAAATGCTTTCTTAGCTCTACTGCACTGAGTATGATGCAAAACATTGTAAACTGTTGAATTCGACAACTTAAACTTATTCTAACAGAGGTGTAGTCTTGGGAGAGAAAAGGTCATTTTATTTGCTAATAGGTCAAAATTAGAGCTCTTGATTGTATGCATTTCCCCAAACTAAATACTTTTACACTCTTCTGTTCATAAACTCAAGCATGTGGAAGTTGGGAGGGACAAAAAAATGTGAAAAGAGCCTGCATACCTCTGAACTTTGAGACACTAGGACAAAGCTAACAAGGATGTAATAAAATACATTGTTAATGTGGTTTAAAAGGTCACCTTTTGGCATTCTGGAAAGTGGTGGGTCACAGCACTCCATATGGAATCCTCTATCACAGGAGTCACAAAAAAGCATATTATCCTGGAATATAACATATTAGAGACTAATTGAGACTGAAACCAACTGCAAGATGCCAAGATTTCTTATATCACCAGATTCAGAATAAAACATAATCATGGAGTGCCAACTTCCCAGCTGCAGTTTGACATCTTAAGTATTTAACATTCTTAAAAGGCAGGTGCAACATTCTTTTAAAAAGAACAGCTTTAATACTAAATATTAATTTACCTGGAGATGATCTACTGAAAAGTATACTTACTGCATTTTTGCCTTGGATTCTACATGCACTGCATGTCTTGCATTCGATGCACTGCCACCTTAAGGCCTTTACATTTGTTGTTAATTCAGGACAAAATTTCAAACAGGATGGGTGCCCTAGAAGAACAGAAAGCAAATTGCCTTTTGGGAATGGTACTTTAAATTTTGTTTTGAAAATCTAATTTTCTACATTTAATAGCTACTAATGCCAGACAATCAACCTCAAGAACTCAGAAACGCAAACAGATCAGAAGGTCCAAATTTGCTCAGTTGTGTCCTACCTCCAGCACTGACCATGCCTAACAACCACTGTCTTTCCAAAGTTCTTGGTTTACACATATAAGACAAGCCTGAGTATAAACAAGTTCTGCGTGCTCCACGTGACGGTTACAACTTACAACAAAGAAGGCCAAACACTGGGGCTGCAACATCATCGTCGTCATTGTCATCATCATCATCATCAGAAGGAGGAGGAGGAGGAGGAGGAAAAGGAAAACAAGAAGAAGACGAGGAGGAGGAGGTAAAGGAGGACAAGGAAGAAGAGGAGAAGAAGAAGAAGTAGTAGGAATATAATAGAATAGAATTCCAGTAGAAGAAAAAGAACATCTTATTGTTGGCTAAGACCAAAAATATCTCACTGCATCTTATCCCTGGGTCCCTAAGTTTAAATTATAAAAGTAGGAGCAGAAATGGTGAATCAGAAGCAGTTAAGAAGATGACAGTCAGGTCAAATGGCATAAATCAAGAACATATCCTCTAAAGATTCCTTCTACTTTCCTGTGGTGAGCTTTCTCACATGGTTTCAGGCACATTTTATCTGGCAGTGTTCCACAAACCAAGGCTCTTTTTATTAAAGACATAGTCTTGCAATATAGCTCAGTTGGTCTTGAACTTGCTGCAATTCTCCTTCTCAGTCTCCTAGAGCTGGTGCCCTGCACTCACTGGCACACCACATCCTCTTGCTGGCCTCACAGGAGGCATCTAGACACCCTAAGAACCACCATCATGCAAAGAAGCCCACCAGCTTTTAGGAAGTAAGAAAGTCCTCCCTATAGTGTGTGTGTGTGTGTGTGTGTGTGTGTGTGTGTGTTAGTTAATGTAGGCTCTTGAAGGCAGTTCTAGTTAAAATCTGCCAGTCTTCAGTCATAACCCTGAGGAGATCTTCAAAGCTGTTTTTTTTTTTAATCAAGTTTTTAAATAATAAAACTGTTAGTAAATTGCATGTGAAAGAACTTATATCCAAGCTGCAAAAGAAAACTGAAGGGGAGCGGGGAGGCAGATTCTGCAATTTCAGAACTGTTTTATAATTTCCTGACTTTGGCAGCCTCATTGTTTAAATATGTATTTTGGTTTGCTGCCAAAAAGGTCCTCCTCCCTAAAGCTTAACAGGTGCTTCATAAAATTCCACCCACTTGGAGATTTGGCTTTTTGAAGTAAAAATATTCAAAATCAATCATCAATATGGTTTTAGAAAGGATACAATTCCTAAGTTAGGAAAAATCTAGACATCTGTACTTAAGATGTTGAGGAAGTAAAATGCTGTCAGAGGATTATGACCTCAGGCATGAGAGACACCTCTGCAGAGGTGTTTAACCTCTGACACCAGTCTTTTACAAAGGCTTCTCTTATTTAGGTGAATGAAAGAAAGAGGCTTAAATATACTGTATAAAAATGGTATCAATCACCTCTCTCTGTTAAGGAATGGCAAACAGCTTACTTGCTGTCTTTAAGAGTTGATCTAAAAGGGAGGAGAGAGAACAACTTTGATCAGAACCCCAACCCCATTGTAAGGGGGTAACTTTTAAAGACCAGCAATTTAAATTCCAAACTTTAAAAAAAAAATGGGTCCTACTGGCTTAAAAGGGTACCATACACTCTTTTTCTTTTTGTTTTATTGCTTCCTGTAAGTCATATATCACTGGCACGTATGACCTCAATTTCATGCACTGAATTTTTCTCTACATTAGAATCTGATTTTATATTTTGTAGTTTTTACTCAGTAACTACGCTAATTCACATTTTACAGCTTAAGATTTATTCCTACAGATACTCTGTTAAAGATGTACTTTTTAGTAACTATTCATTTTGAAAATTAATGGATATCATTTTACAATGAAAAGCAGGAAATATTCTGCCTCTTCTTAACACTTTCTCTCACTTTAAGTAATCTTACATCCCACACTTAGTATTTAAGCCCTGTCAAACACAGAAATCTTCACTCTATCTTTGTATTATCAAGAGACTAGGCCACATATCCTTTCAAGCTCTAAATTTTTGTGATTCTGTAAAAGATGTGAGGAACTTAAGAAGTATTTTCATTTCTCACAGCCAACTTTAAAATAATACTAAAGACTGAGTCTTGATATATTAAACGATCTATAGTAATAAAATGATACTATTAATAATGCAATTTCTTAATTCCTATTCAGCTATTCCATAGATGCAAGACTTTCCTCTAAAATTCTTGTTCTCTCTGGTAACACAATTCAGGGGTGTTTGTCTTTCTGGAGTTTCCTTTATTGCAGTGGTTTGCAATTTATTAGATTCGACAGCAATAATATGAATCCATTCACTTATTCATTGATTTTTAATGGTTTTCTGAGACAGGGTCTCATTGCATCATTCATGCTGGTCTTGAATTCACTATTTAGCCCAGGTTGGCCTCAAACTCATCGTGATCCTCCTGCCTCAGCCTCCCCAAGTTTTAGGATTACAGGTTTGCACCAAAACACAATCAGCTCTCATTCATTCTTATATGAACACATAAAAATAACTGTTAGCTTACCACAACTTTATCTAACAAAACCAAAAGGTTATCATACACAATTAAACAAAACCAATGGAGTCACAAACCAATAAAAATGATATTTGGCAAAGCACTATGGGGCAAAACTAGAAATACTTTTGGAGGAAATGCTATAGGTTCTATGGTACACATCCGAAGATGTCCATGCTCTAATTCCTGAAAGGTGAAAATAAATGACCTGTCTTGGGGTAAAAGGAACCTCGTAGTCAGGGTTTAAGGGTGCACACCTTGTAGAGATACCCTGAATTACCTGAGCAGGTCTGATCTAATCATAGGAGTGAGGTCTCACGAACAGAGAATCTCTTCTGGCTGAGTAGACAAGTAAGATGGGAAAGGAAAACCAAAAGGTTCAGAGCAGGAAGCGGTCTTCACCATCTCTGGGAGGCTTTTGAGACACAGGAAGGCTGTCACAAGCCAAGCAGTTAAGCTGGCTTCTAGAATCTGGGGACAGCCTTTATCTGACAGCAAGAAAACAGGGGTCTCAAACCTAAAAATGCAAGGGACTAAACACTGCCACCACACAAATGGGCAAGGTTAAGCACCCTAATTAAAGCAACCTAAGTAAAAAAAGTCACGCTGGGGCAAAGCCAAAGTGGCATATACTGTGTTGGGGGTTTTTGTTGTTGCTATTAAGACCGTGTTGCTGTTTTTGGTGAAGGAAGTGACTCAAGGTTGATGAGTTGTTCTAGATGTTAACTTTGAAGAACCGAGGGGGTGGACATGCTTACAAGTTTGGTAGGCATTTATACATAAGGGATCAGGAGAAACTATGCTCAAGGGAAGAAACATCAGGCCTAGGACAGAAATCTGAAGAAACACAAAGGGCAGAAAGCTGACAAGGAATTAGCAACAGTAATGGAAGGAGGAGGCAGAGAAAATATAGAATATGGCATTGCAGAAATCAAAGAGGCTATTTCAAGAGAAAAAATTACCAATGAGTCAAAATGTGGATGAGAGGAGTGTCTTGTGTGGACAGAAACATATGGTTTAGATTTTGATAACAACTGAAAAGTGAACCCTGGATTTTGATATTTAAAGTCACTGTTAAATCCAACAAGCAAAATTTTAGTGAAATACAGGCTTAAAAGCAAGATTTCTTCCATTTCTCCCTCTAGATAATATCAAAAATGCTTTTGGGGGTGGGCATAGTTTGTCTTCCACTTTCCTTCATTATTTATCTTTGAATTCTTTGTAATTGTAGGCCTGCTTTCCAACCTGATTCTGATCTGATTCTGTATCTAGTCTGTATGATACTGGATGACTAACCAACTAGCAATCACTCAGGCATTTTTATACAATAACCTCTAGAAATTACAGCTCTTTTAAAAATACATCCCTATCACAGGTTGTACGCATCAGCTCCCTCTAGAAACAGAAGGCACGAAAGGTCTTTGTCTTTATTTTAAAGCAGTGTTAACAGACAGATAAAGACGAACTTAGGAGAGATTTCAGGTCTCTCAAGAGGACACTGAGGCTCTAGCCATGGGTAACCCCCTTAGTACCAAGGCAAGGGCCTCTCTCCTTCTCCCAGCTGCATCTGAGCAGCCTTTCTTCTGCTTCCCATTTCAATGAGCTTCCACTTAAGATGATGCTGCAGTGTTGAACTGTACACTTATCTTTGATTTGCTAATTTGAAAACACACATGCACACAACTCATCTGTAAGTAAGATTTAACCACCCGGCAATCTGAGCAGCAGACACAAAATTTCATTTGGTATAATATCTAATAGTTATGGGAAGCTAATTAAATATAATTTGGTCTTAATGAGGCAAAGAGAATATAACAGTGTTAATTTCAAAGTAGGCTGATCCATGAAAGTCAAGTAAAAGCACTTCCTACTGGTAACATTCCCACAGATCTGTAAACTACCTGGCTGGGGTCACATTCAGTGTGTGTCTAATGTGCTAAAGTTACCGATCATCTTTGCATCATTATTTCATTAAATGCTCACAACAGCTCTGTGGATGCAGGTTGTGACCTTACCCTTCCGAAGGTACAGATCAGACACTCTGTAGATACATAGCCAGCAAGCAGAAGAGAAAAGTGAACACAGGGAGCAGACACCACTTGTGGACTCCTTGATCTATACTCCCCAACTCACATTTTTACTACATGTAAAGTGAATCATTCAAAAAAAAAACGTTTGCAGGACAAAAGTTAAGTTCTGGCTATCTGACCAAAGAACCATATCAAAAATAGAGAAATGCTGAATTGGTTTTACTTTATGATATAAGCAGAAGGAAACATTTATTACTCATGTCTAGGAAATCTAAGTGGAGTCTAAACGTGACATCATACAAATGGTACTTCAGATAGAGGCAACTAAAAAGCACCAGGCGCATATGGGAAACACATTTCAGAATGTTCTTCCTTATGGGCTGTATCGATATTTCCTTTTTCTGCTTTTATATGGGTATTTTTTCACATAAACATCTTATGTTAGGGATTCCTTTGATCATTACAGACAGTTTCAATTCAATCCTAAAACCAATGGATTCTTCTGAGTGTGAGACAGCTGCCATTTCCACAAGGTCATCTGAGGGTACCGACCAACCTGTAAATTCCTTTTGAGGGGATGAACTGACTATAATGATGGAGCTTTCTACCAGGATCAGAGGACATAGTTGAAGCACAGAGTCCATCATATTCTTTTATCTTTGTCATTACAGATGTATCGTGGCACAGTATTAAAACTACAAGAACCTCCGAACTGCCTGAAATAAGCCACACTTGGATTGACTGCTGCAGTGATTCATTCATTTATTCACTTATTCATTCATTGATATACAGGGCCTTACTCTGTGATTTAGTGTGGCCTGGCCCCTCTTCACTACGTAGCCCAAACTGGCCTTAAACTTGTGGTGATCCTCTTGCTTCAGTCTCCAGAGTACTGGAGTTACAGGTGTGCAACACCACACCCAACTCTGACCTTCTTCCATTTAAAGAAAACAATGGATCCCACTCATCTGATTTGCCAGTATAAATGAGAAAGGACCAAAAGTTTTATCTCATTCAAGTAGCCGAATCCAGACTGGCATTGCACACTCAGGAAGGGGTCAGTCAACCTGATGCAAAAGCCTGATTGCACAACAGGGTTCACAGCAACACTCAGATGCATCTTCTGCCTTGAACAAAGAGACCTGCTGGCTCAGATTTCTGCCATGACCCATACCTAGAGTCCACATACTCAGGTTCTCTCTACTCGAAACTAGAGGGAGAGACTAGCTCAAAGTTGACTCCAGTAACATAAACCCTGTAAAAAGTATTCTCAACCCATTTGTCTCTGTTTGTTAGAAAACGAGAAGGTATTTTTAGAGACAAGAAAGCAGAACACTACACCCATGCACCCCTAGCTTGACCTTGAAAAAGTATGAATGAAAAGAAGCTTCAGTAAGAAAGAAATTTCTGGTGACCTCAAAGTATAAAGGAGATCAGGCCTCTCTGTTGGCAGGTGTTCAATCTGGAAAGATGAAGAGAGATTGATTACATCTGAAAGTCTGGGGTCTACTGTTCAAAATTACACCTTGATACCCTCTGAAGAGGGCCTTGAAGCTAGGAGCCAGAAGATAAAATCTTGAATTCCATATTAACTCAAGTAAGTGTATCTCCTAAGTAAGAAAATATATGAAGGGAACTTTTCTTCCCACATTTAAGTATGTCTGTAACCTGTCTAGTCCTCCAGATAGATAATATAGAAATAAAGCAGAGAAGATTGTGCTTAAAATACTGCCTTAAAATCACAACAGGTAAACCCAAGATAAGAGAACACCACTAAATTGATCAAGCTGTTACAAAAAAGAATAATTCATTCAGAACAAGCCTTGTGAGAAAACAGAAAACCTCCAGAGGGAGAACTGATGAGTGAGGCCCTACCTCACCAGCATAAAATGGGTTTTGTGGGGTTGAAATTTATTAAACTGCACACACAGATAATATTTCCATGCCCTTTTGTCACTATCCATGATACCCTGGCCAGGGAAAAGAATCTTAATAAATCTGTAAAGCCCATCAAAAAGATTGTCAGAATGCATTTTTCAAGCAGGGTTTAAAACATGTTATTTCACAGCTTCAAGTGCTAGAAGCTGCTGAACCACAGAAGGCGTCTCAAGTAAAACCTTCATAGGAGTAAGAATCATTACAGGATACTGTCATTCCTCAGAATCAGAAGAGTTCCTCTATCCAACTATCAGCACTGTCATAAATGGTGAAAAGATTTTCACTTACTGGTAGCAATTCAGGACAATATCAAACATGCCGAATGGCTAACACATAGAACACACTTAACATAGTTCTTACCGGCCCTGGACTAAGCTGTTTGCTTCTGTTCTCTTATTTAATTCCCACGAAACTGAAGAACTAAGTGCTTAGTCCCATTTTTCTAATGAGAAAACTGAGGTTTAAAATGGTTACATAACTACTTTGAGGTGGGGAAACTGGGCTGCGGTTGGCTGCTGAGTTTCCTCTCACGCGCTAATGCTCTATGAATGAAGTGAGCGTATGCTGAATGAGTATGTGTGGCCTTTGCACAGATGAGTTCTGGTTCTGCTTTTTGTTTTGTCTTTTATTTTTTTAACTTTTTAGCGGTCCCGGGAATCGAACTCATGACCGCCTGCTTGCAAGGCAGGGGTTTATGCCGCTGAGCTCCCAGCCACTTCTGGTTCTGCTTTTTCACAATTCAAGGGAGACTGCCTGGCAAGCGTGAGGTCCTGAGTTCAATTCCTGGTACCACCCCCCCACACACACCCCCAACAAACAAACCAACAAAACAACACAGAAGCAATGATTGAAGGGGACAGAACCCAGGGCCTTAACAATGCATATTGCACGGGTGGGAAAGGCAACCATACCTGAGTTTGAACCAGGGTTTTTACACCAACCTACATTTCCAGACTATTTCAATTTTTTAAAATTAAAAAAAAAAAAAAAAAAAAAAAAAAGTTTAAGTTGATGAATTGCCCAGGCTGGGCTCAAACTTATGGTGCTCTGGCCTCAGCTTTCCAAAGTGCTGGAATTACAGGCATGCACCAGAACACCTGCCTTTTAGGATTACTGTTTTTAAAGGTAACTAAAACTAAGGAAAATAGTAGTTATTCTTGACTTACTTATTTTGCCACTATCGCATCAAACACATAGTCTTGTGCATGCTAGGCATGTGCTTTACCACTTAGCTATACATCCAACCTCAGTCACAATTTTAAATAAAATCTTAAAAGTTTTCAGTAGATTAGAAAACATTAAGTGTCACATAAACATAAAATGATTCATGTTTTGTAGTCCTGGACAGGGGTGTAGCTTGATGGTACAGTGCACACATAGTACATAGCACGCATGGGACCCTTGGTTTGATCGCAAGCACTCCCCATTTCCAAACAACAACAACAAACTAGAAACAAAACCAATTATTATTCCATCTGTTGAAATATGTGCAAGAGATAGACAGAAGGACTCAGGTCAAATACGTGCCTTAACATAAAGGAAAAATTACAAGTAAAAGAAAATTTTAAAATGTGAGCACAATTTACTTCTAAACTTCCATTATGAAACTGGAAATTTTAAAAACATAATTTATAAAACCTCATAGTAAGAAAACACAAAGGTGCCATTTTAGGTTCTCTAATTTGTCAGCAGCCCAATGTTCCTACCAGTGATTCCTTCATTTTTGTAATACCTTCTGCTTAGACAACCCTTTGACATCTTCTGCTAGGCAACTACAATTTCTTTCATTCCTATTTCTTGATTCTTTTAGTGAAATGTTTAGAATCTTGGCCTTTCATTTGGAGTCACACAGAGCTGCGCTGCAGTATCACATTTAACCAGTAGGTGTCATGACCAGAAATACTATAGACTCCAACTCCAGTATCTGTTTAAACCAAGGCTTCAAGTTACAGTAAAAAAATGATTCAGGTTCAATTCAGTTGACTTGAAAGCTTAAATTTCTCTACCATAAGCCGTGCATACACAAGTAGTCCACACTACTTGGGAAGCCGAGGCAGGAGTGCCTGAACACAGGAATACTAGCAAGACTAGCAACACAGGGAGATCTGGACTCAGTAAACAAGTGCCTCTCCCTGAATTTACCTTCCGCTCCTCCCTCCACACAGAATTATCAATGTTCTGTAAAAAGTGAAGCTTGATTAGAAATACTGATATTGTCAGTGCTAATATATTCATGCTTTCCTCTGCTCCTGCATTTCCTTTCTACATTTAAAGCGAAGAACTCTACCAAGTAATTGCTTAAATGACAACTATCATGTAGTTTTAATACATAAACAGCATTGAAGTTAGGATAATAAGCCACTATACAAAACACACATAAACATATAACTTACCACTACTGCCACAATCTGCACAGGACAGGAGTTCTTCTGGTTTCTTTTCACGATTGGATTCTTTAGTCCCCAAACAGAAGCTACATATTGGAATGGGATCAGCACGGGGCTGTGACAAAGTTTAAAAAAAAAAAAAAAAAATTAGCTTTCAATTAAAAATATAAAACAAGACATGAAGATCACAAGCAACTTACACATTTCTTGACTAAAGGAAGTCTGCTGAATTAGATTTGCAAAGAAAGATTTTATAATTAAAACTATCTTAAAATATTTTATATTAAAGCATTATCTGTATATTGAAGAGTATATTTAAGATTAAGAAGTAAATTTTATTAGTTCGATGAAATCTAAGAGCTATAAAGCTTATTAATATAAGCTTCTCAAAAGGACATTATTAAAGATTCCCTTGAAATCTCAATGATTCTCTGTATGCCTGTAATACATTGATTCATCTATCTATTGAGTATTCCGGTCTATGAATATCCTCCAGTCAAGTCAGATTATTTAAATAAACATCACCAAATGTGATGTAGGTACAATGATTCACTTACTAAACACCAGATCTAAAATGTAGTATCTTTTAAAATGATATATTAACAAAGAATAAGCAAGAACTAAAATTCCTGATTGAAAGACCATAAACAAGGCTTTCCTGGCACCAAGGTCTTGGAAAGGAAACCACACCACACCAGAGAACAGAAAGGAGATAAAACTTTTGATCTCTGATATTCCCATTTTATAAAAGAAACAAAAAAACATTTGTCTAACCCTCTACCTCTCTCTAACTCTCCATATGGAAATAGCTTTTAACAATGTATAAATCTACATACATTTTAGTGTCTCCATTGTTATTTACTATTATCAGCAATGCTAGCATTCCCTTCCATATAAATATAGCTGAATGTGCCTACAGATCTGGTCACACTATTTTGAACAGCCAAAACTGTATAAAAAAAAAATGTGAAATTTTATGGCATATTCAAAGCCTTCACACATGTTGTCTGCTAGGCATCTGAATGCTACTATGATGTCCTTATATTTGAATCTTTGAAACTCAAAAATTCAGGGCAAGAAATCCCAACATAATTACAAATGTTTTTAAATGTAAATCAAAAACAAGATCTGGTTAGGTCTCATTTTCTAACTATACATCCACATAGAATAAACCTCATTTGTTCAGCCATTCAATCCGAAATGCCCAATCCACTGCCTGGTTCATAGAAGGGACTTAAAATACATTTGCTAACTGAATAAAGCAGCATATGCTGATTTTTAAAAAAATCTATCTTATATTTAAGATGATATTTCAAATGGTTATAATGATTTCAACAAATGTCTTGGCTCACTGTGACAACATGTCATAAATCAAGAGTTCATCTCATGACCAAGCACTGACAAAACTGTTTATTATGACTGTTAATTTCATCTTACAGCATGAGTGTTCATTATCTTGCCCTCATTTTCAGCTTAATTTGTTCTTGTAATGTGCCCAGGCTCTACTTTTTGAGCTAGCTATGCAAATGCATTTTTGCGGCCCCACTTAAAACATAGATTATAACACATTCTGTACTAGGAAAACCAAAAAAGACAAGCTACAACAAATTGGTCACTGACTCCAGCCACAGTTTTTTAAATGCCAGATAATCAGCACTGCATAATTATGGATCCACAGTTATTACTTGCAACTGCTCAACTGCAGTACCTTGGGAACACTTTTGTTCCTTTAAATAGCAATTAAAAGAACAATTTGGTTTTAAAGTGACAACATTCCCCTGATAGATTCTAGCTAAAACACAGTCCTCCTACTAATGGGATTTCTGTTTTCTTTTGATAGAACAGTGTTCAAGCCACTGCCGCCTTCCTTGCGGTGATAAATAATTTACAAAATGTCACGTATCATTCATGCAATGAAACAAATCCAAATCTGCAATCCCATTTTTCTTTCCCAGATGAATTTTTAGCTCTAAGAGAGACGTGGCCATTGGCCAGCATTCAGGCTCATTTTTCGTTTTTAACTAAGGTAACACAAAGGACAAAGGTGGCTAGTAGTTCATGGCCAGAAAGACTGATGTCCCATACTCTGCCCAATCATAGAAAGCATAGATGCTATCACTTTGTGCCACATTCAAGTGAACCCTACCATGCTGATGTATGCTCACGATCATTTATTTTAAGGATAACTATCTCACAGTACTCTATAAAACCACTGCATTATACAGAAATGTCTGCCCTGCTGAATTATTGATAATTCAAAGCACTTTTTGCTAACCTCAGTGTAGCCGAGCCTAATTAACTTTAAAAAACTGTCACTTGTATGAAATGAAATTTTTACAGTAATGCATGTAAATGGGTCACAGAATTATTATGATTCACTATTCTGAATCAGACTACATATAAACTGTTTTTAAAAATAATCCCTTGTTAATAAAGTAAAATGGATTACAGTCAGAAAGAGATCTGAGTAAATGGCAATTTGATTCTACACAAATCCACTACAGACAAGTGATATTTAAGAGGTTTGAAAACAGAACACCAAATTTCCAAGTCCTTTACTCTTTTCTTTGAAAGTCACAAAGGCTCCTAATTTGCTAATCACATTATTCATCAAAATGCTTGGTCATTTTAAAGCAATTCCAAGAACCAACATTCATGGATAGTCTGAAGATACAAATTATGAGCGTATTCTGGGAAGCACCTTTTTCTCCTCCACTGTGTCATGGGCATAGGGAAGCTGTCAGGTTAGGGGCTCCTCATAATATTCTTCCATGTCATCACTGGTATCATCTTTCCAGTGACTTACACTTTGCTCACTTTACAGAAGAAAGGAAGAACCGAGAGATTAGGTTATTTTCCTAAAGTTGCAAAGGTTCACTGTGGCGCTGGGTCTCAAACACGACTTTCTTCCCCAAAGCCTTCCTTCACTACCTCCCCTACCCTTTTCCAGAAAAACAAAATGTTTAAGAAGTATCTTTTCATCAGTGGCGATGGTTATTAACTAAAATGTTCCAAATCTCTTCTAATCCTTCCCATTATAAATAGCATGTTTGTAAAAGTACTAGAAAGACCATCATTAATATGCTATTTTAGATTATTCATTAATTACAATCAGAAAAGGTACCCTCTCAACCACAAACATGTCAAGAAATCTGGTTGAAACCTCCCTTACAAATATGGCACAAACTGTCGTTGTGTGCTTCCAAGGGCTGTCCTGAAGGACTTAGCACTGCCTATTGGTGAGGAATCTAATACAGAAAACAGTAGGCAATTCAAAACCAAAGATATTCCTGAAAACAATTCACCTGGATTCCATAAAGTGTCATACAAGGCAACCCCTACCTGAGCCAGAAGAGCAAAATCAATTTCAGCAACAAAAATGGTAATGAAACAAAATTTATGGTCATTGGTTAGATTCTAGGTTTTTAAAAAAATAGCTATAGCTCTAAAGGATGTCACCAGCAAAACTGGGAGAATATACATTACTATTACATAATATATAAAACAAGTATCCAAATGAAAGTTTTACTGAGTGAGCATACTATGGTTATATCAGGCAGTGTCTTTATTCTTGGGACATATGTGATGAAATATTTAGAAATCATGATGTCTTTAGCCCTTAAATGAACCAGAGAGGATAAATCTAAGTGTATCTATATGGAGTGTTCAGAAAGCGTTAGAGGAAGCCAATGTGGTAAATGTTAATGTTTGATGATTGTGTCTAAAGAGTATATTCGCATTCATGTTATTCCTTTAATTTTCTGCATGTGGACAACTTTCCCAAACAAAAAGTGGGGGTGGTGGTGATAAAATAGTACCTCTATGCTTTCAAAAGAGGTTGAGAATGAATAATTATATAGTTCGGTTATAAAAATTTGTAAAATAAAGATGTCAATCCAATTACTGATTCACAGGAAATACAGAGGACAGGGACTATACATTAATCTATGAAGGGAGATGTTGGTATCAAAAGCACAGAGGGCAAATGACCCAGTCTCTTCAACACATAAATTACAAGGGAGGCAGAAAGCAAGTGAGCAAAAAATAGATGTAGACAAAGAGTCAGGAGATTAAGAGAGCTTTAAATGGCAAACCAGCCAATCACAGTGTCTGACTGAGCTTTATTTTAACCATGATTCAAAGGAACTGAAACGTTATTACCTAGTGACAAAACTGCCTCTACTGTCTCCAGGGTCTGTTGGGAAGGGGAAAACCAAGTGTCTCCAGAGTATATAAAATGAGGACCGACATGGTATGTCAGGGACTGACAGGGAGGTCTCATTGTTGTTCAACAAGAGAATGAAATCTTACTTTCTCCTCTGTTTTGCTTGTATTTTTCAATTATGGTAAAATACACATTAGATCATTTTAACAAGTATCACATGCAAAGGTTTGTGTGTGGAGCCGGATCTTAAATACAAGTCCCTGTTCCTCAAAGCCCACCGTTTTATTCAGTAGCATTTAGTACCCTAAAAACTGTGCAAACAGCACCACCATTCACTTCTACATTTTCCACCTTCTCAAACTGACAGTTTCCATTAAATCCTAGCTCCTACTTCATCCTTGAGCCCCTGCAGCCACATTCCCCTTTCTGTCCCATCCATTTGACTCTTCTTGATACCTTGCATAATAACTAGAGCCATATAATATTTGCTGGATTATTCTTGAGGTGCAGAGGCCTTTGTAATCAGAATAGGTCACGGAGAGTTTGGACAGGCCTCACCAGGACAGCGCACAGAATCATGGCTCTCAAGCTAGGAAGGTATCTGGGACTTTTCAAAAATTCTTTCCTGACTCAGTGCAGTGTTTTAATGGTTAGATAGCTGAAGAAACTTTAAGACCTTTCCAAGCTCTAATGTTTTATTGAGTCCACAATACTTCAAAAGACACTGAAAGAGTCCTTAGGATAGCCTCCCTTGGCTTTTCTGAGAAAACATTCCTTAAATTCAGGACAATGCATTTTTGAGAAATTTTATGTTGAGTTACTTTTATTTCTGCCCTGAAGGAAACATATGAGTGCTTGTTAGTCATGTAAGTCTAAGTAGCTGGACCAAAAAAAAAAAAAGAAAGAAAGAAAATAAGTGAAAAATTCTTGTACTAAAGCAGAGCCAGAGG